CGAGTTGCTGTCAACTGGGCTTACTTCTACTCTCAATCATTATTGGTTTTAGTATAATGGACGAAAGGCCTCATACCTTCATGGGCAGGGCTGTCTTAGACTATGCTGGGGCCCTTGGGCACACAATAATTCGGGGCCCTTTTGGAATGTAAAGAGAGCGAACCGAACTATACATTTTTTTTCAATATGATCTGCGCTATTAATCAAATATAGTATGATAATACAATATGTAATTAATTATATTAGTGTGTATGCTGCTGTTTTTTTATTGTGATTACGATAATAATTTCTTTCGAGATTTCTGTTGAGAAAAATCTATTAAATCCTCAAACTCAATTTTCTGAAGAATATCACTTTCTATGCTCATAATTCCCAATTATGGGAATGAATGTATTTATACGAAACTTCTCATTGCCTCTCAACTGGAAAGTCTTTCATGATCTTTCAAAAAAAAGTGAAGCGTGAGCTGCGAATTCTTTTTCCTTCAAATTTATCTTGATAATCAACATCTGGATTTTTTCTTTAGCAGCTGTTTCATACTGATCAAAATTATTGCATGCGTTATTGACTTAACTGATGAGAGATTCGTAAAGTTTTCTTACAACGTCCATAGTCATGGTGCTATTCTATAAACTTAGACTTATTTTATTCATAATTCCCAAAATGTCATTCCATATTTCTGTTAGAAGCGCAGTCTCCAATTTTTCCATTTTTGCTAGGCTTTGGGCTTCGATTCTAGTGTCTCCTGGTTGACTGATGTCACTTGCGATGGAGGACAATGCTTGAGAAATATTTAAATAACCATTTCGCAATGCATTAATAGCATTGGCATGTGCGGACCATCTGGTTTCCGAAAGAGACTTCAGGACTCTATTTACACCTAAATGCTCTGTCAATATTTTCCATCGTTGGTCGAAGCTGAGAAAAAATTGTACAATTTTTTTACAAATTGAAAGAATGCTACTGTTTCAGTAATACATTCAACAGCTTGAATACCCACTAAATTTAACGAATGTGCCGCACATGGAACGTAAATTGCATATTCACATACTTCTTTTATTCTAAACTGGACACCGGAGGACTTTCCAGACATATTTGATACATTATCATAGCTCTGCCCACAGCAAACTTTTATGAGGATATCAAGACTTTCAAAAAAGTTTAAAATGATATATGCTATATTTTGCGCATATTATGTCCGTCCCTAGGCAAAAATTACAAAAATATCTCAATTTTTCAATTCTACAAATGGAAGAAATTCAGGACAACTTAAAGAAAAAAATATTGAATCTTGGATTCAATATCTCACATAACGATTTAAACATTTAGAGAAACTTCCGAATGAACAAACAAAATTTGTAACAGAATCAATTCTTAATTAACATTCGAAAAAAGACAAACTATCAAATACAATAAAATTTTCAATGACATAAACAAGAAAAATGTCAATGAAATCAACAAACTTAAATGTAAATCAAACTCGGAATATAGTAAATTCTATCTCAAGCTATCGAAAACTTGATAACTGAGATGATTTGATCTATTATGTTGATGGATATTTTGATCTATTAGAATGGGTACTCTTAGTAGGATGCAGTAGCAGATAATTCCCAGATTTTTTAGCTTGCACAAGTTTTGTGCGGGTTAACAGATAAACATATTGTTGAATCGACGTTCTCCACCAAAATAACAATAAATGACAAATGATGATATCATGTATCATTATGATACATTTTTCTGCTTGACAGTTGAAATTTACTACTTTTTACACATTGAAAATTCTACTGCATTTACAACAAAATGTCGTTGTGAATATGAACATTTGCGTTTCACTGCAGGAATGATTATAATTTCACTGTCCATGAAAAGGCACCGTTACGATATGCATTGATTATCAAATCAATGAAAGCACATTGTAATGTGTTTAGTTAATATGCGAGTCGATTGCTGTCTTCAGACGGTTGTTTTAGAACATTCGGTTATTCTCGTATCCATTAAAATAATCACTATACGGATTTTAAACCGTTCGATTCAAATGATGCTTTCCAAAATCAGTATAAAAGTTGTAATAAATAATTTAAGTCGTTCGTAAAAATTGTGGAGAGGCAACAGTTAGGGCAAACCAATTGTTCAATGTATTCAGGCCGACAACCGCCTAATGAAAAGGTAGCTTAAATTAGAATAAATGTTTAACTACAGGTTATGCAGCCATCAATACGAGCATAATGTTTACAACTGGGTAATTTAATATGAACATCTTTATGTGAATTTATTTTATTAAATTATTTCATAAACCAGGAAGTATGTCTCCTGTAAATTCCATTTGTCGATTATGTCTTCAAAAAGAAGAAACTATATCAAAGTTCAATATTTTCGATTTGGGATTGAGTGATTCATTGTACTGGATATTTGGTGTTGAAGTATGTATTTTCTTTTTTTATTTATATTTTTTTGTATGTACCTATCCTTGGCGATTTATTGTAATCGTTAAAACAATTGACATCCATAAATTTATCAAATGAACTTGATCTACCATTGTTTCACTTGTACTTAGGTGCCTGGATGGCTGCTGTGCTGTCTTAAGATATTGATTTTTTCTTTCTCTCCTTACAGTTTCATGTAGGTACTTCCCAAGAATAAATAACTAAAGGAAAAAGAGAACTAGTTCTCTGAACACTTTCAAAGAAAAAAAAAAGTAATATTATTGAAAACTTTCTAGGAAACGTGTACAAGTCATCTACAGGTGTTTCTTTCAGAATAAATAAGAAGATAGAGAGCCTTTTCAAGGGAAAAAAAAGTAAATTATATAGATGATATATTTGGTTTCGAATGTCCTGCCAATATCCTAGGAATTGCATCGAACTCAATCAAGAATTATATACATGTGATAGAGCTACTCAATAAATGGAAGATAAAAATAAAGTAAATTTAAAGTAAATTGATGGATGTAGCCGTTACAATGTGGTAGGAAATCATAATGAAGAAAAGAGAAAAGGAAACTTTCTATATTTTTTACCACTTTTATTTGTAACTAACGTTACTGCAGTTTCGTTCTATACGGACATTTTCAAGGTGTATTGTATAAGTTTGAAAATGTCCATATAGGACAAAACTGCAGTAACGTTAGTTACAAATACAAGTGGTAAAAAACATAGAAAGTTTCCTTTTCTCTTCATTAAAAATAAAGTACTTCAGGAAAATAATCGCTTGCTTCAGGAAACTTGTGATGTTCTAACACCATTTTGCCAAAAAACAGATATCAATGAAAATAGTTCTGCCACTAACCTTCCTTTAAAATTGCAAGTGGCTCAGAACGCGATTCCAATAAGTTATAATGCATCTACAAATTGAGACACTTTTTTTATATAAAATATTATCAGGGCACTTTTATTGTCCCGAACTACCCAGTTTGTTCAATTTGAAGATGAAGCAACCTGAAACAAAAGATGATAAATCTGTCTTCATGGTAAACAAGCACATGACAAACTATGGACGCAAGAGTCCACTATCAAGAATTTTTAGAGGCCAACGAGTCGGGTCTCGATTTTTTTGACAACTCTTTGGAAGTATTCAAACATAAGGTTAATAATTGTGTATTTACTATGTAGTTAATGAGATTATATATTAGTTTTTAATTATATACAATTGAATTACAACATTATAAAACAGGGGTATCTCGTTGATACTACTGAAGAAATAAATAAACAAATCGTGTTGTAACCTATGCTGAAAGAGTTCAACACAGACATTTAATACAATTATAAGGTCCCAAGACGTATCTAAGAAGCATATTGTGGATCCAGGAGTAATTAAAGCTGGAATAAATGAGGTGGTTGCTCAAAATAAAATGAGGAAAATTCAAGAAATAACACTGATCACTGAACAAAGAGCAAACAGTGAATGGAATCAGCAGAAATCTAGTGGAAGACCACGTTGTCATTTCGTTATGGGAGGAAACAATGAGATGGTGAACCAGACAGTACCGAAGACAATAGCACTTATTTATCAGGTTGAAACCTAATTCTAATCCTGATGAACTGAAAAAGTACTAAAACCGAAGTTTCCAGAAGTGGTTTGTGAAATTCATAACCTAGATACTGCGGGGAGAACTTTTAAGGACTTCATGCAATATACTCATCACAATATATCCTTTAAATTCCAAGTAAGAGATAAAATAAGTTTTTTGAGAAACACCCTAAACACCCTAAAAAACCTCATTGTTTATCCATTGACTCAACTCTTTAATCTCTGTATAAAAAAAAGTTTATTTCTATCTTCTTTGAAAATTGCAAAAGTGATTCTTGTTTATGAAAAAATGTTCAGTTCATGACAGAAATAACTATAGATCTATTTCCCTTCTATCGATATTTTCTAAAAACTACTAGAGTCGCTAATGAATCAAATTATGAACTATTTTGAGGTTAATGGTTTGTTTGTAGATGATCAATGTGGGTCCAATAGATCTACTGTAGCTGCCATTAATGAGTTACTAGACATTGTATTGAACGGCTGGGAGCAAAAACTCTATTTGACCTGTCTCAACTGACATATTGACTGAAAGTTTTACAACTTTCGTTCTGATAGTACAGCCTTTCTCAGCTCCTACCTAACGGAACGCTCTCAGTATGTTCTATATGATGGTGTTTCTTCAGATGGTATGCAGTGGCTTCGTGGAGTTCCTCAGAGCTCAGGCTAGTACAGCCTTTCTCAGGTCCTACCTAACAGAACGCTCTCAGTATGTTCTATATGATGGTGTCTCTTCAGATGATATGCAGTGGTTTAGTGGAGTTCCAGTTCCACAGGGCTCAGTTTTGGGGCCTCTACTCTTCTTGATCTACATGAATGACTTAAAAGTCAATGTAGCTGTCGCAAAACTCATACTATTGGCTGATGTCACCACTCATCTGCAATTTAAGAAATTGTGGCCTAGGGACAGAATCAGATAAAAGAATGGTTCTTAGTATACAAACTTTCTCTTAACCAAACCAAGACCGAAAATATCAACTTTTCTCTCAGATATCTGCATCCAGATCTGCCAAGAAGTGATGAGGTGAATCTTTTTGGAATAATTATCGATAAAGGTCTAACATGGGAAAGAAACATAACTATCGTCTAAGCTATCGAAAATTTCATATATGATAAGATCACTTGTTGAAACTGTATCTGGAGAAACTATGTCAGCTTATGGTTACTTTTATTCAAACATGACATGCTGTGCTGAGTTGGGGTCACTGTTCTCATTCGGAAAACACTTTTAGGTTACAAAGGAGATACATCCGTATTATTATGAATCTCAAATGTCGCCATTGCGATAGATATGAGATTCCACTGAAATGAATCAGTTCTAAAGGGGTTTCAAGTGACACCGAAAGTTCAATTTCAAAGAAATTTTCAACAGTAAAATAATAATTGTCAATTTTCCTACATTTCATTGATCTTTCAGCTCCATTCGATCAATTTCGATATGTGAGTTCAATGATTAGTAGGAATCACACGTTAGTTAGGAATCACACGTTAAAAGGTAAGACCTCGTTAGTCCTTAGCTCGCACAAGTTTCTCAACTTCTGAGAGTTGTCGTTCGTATGGGGGCGGCAGCTGATTAACGGAAAAACAGATTTTGAAACAGATTTCATGTATCATTCAGAAAAATGGGCATTCTGTAGCATACTAGAAGCATTACACTTGCTTGACTAGCAATATAAATATAGTGATTATATACTTCCTTCAGAAATTACTCAGTTCAGTATTTCAGGTCATTTTTAAAAAGGTACCAAATTTATTCTGCACAATTATTTCAAATAATTCAAAATTTCACTTATATAAAAATTTGATGGGTCTATAAATTAGAAAAATGGTCAATATTTCTTCTACACATTATTGAATGCATGGTTCCACTTATTTGGCTTCAACATGAATTCGGTAATTGTTAATAATATTCCAAAGACTTTTTTCGTTTAGAATAAGAGACAAAATTTATTTTAAACATCATTTGTCATACAGTTTTCACGTTCGTTTTAAATATTTATTAAATTATTTATTCATCCAAACAGGCTGATTAGCCTAAAAACATGGATATAATATCAAGAAAATATAGTCTAATAATAATAAATAATATTTTGAATGATGTAACTAACTTTCCTTTATTTTCAGTATTTTAATATTAATATAAGTCACAATATAAGCGCTTTTGTGACAGCTCAAATCCTTTTTGTGACTTATATTAATATTAAAATAATATATAATAACAATACAGTGTATTCATAACGATAACTATCAATATACAAAAACCGCAGGGAGAAATCATTCAGAAATATTAATTGAATTTAATATTAATCTTCGAAAATTGTTTTGAGATGAAGTCCAGTCCAATGATGTTGAGACACCCATTCAATATGACCATTTCAAAAAGTGTTTGGCTTGATTCACAGTTGTAAATAACCAAAAAAAAAGAAACAAAATTCGTTGTACGATTCATTGAGGATAACAAAAATATCTAACAAGCTGCCTTGTTTGATCTGGAAAAGGTAAATACAACACTCTTTAGAAAAAGGTATTGTTCGACACATTCTTGATTGCATAGTTGTCTTTTTCAACATGGATATATAGAGTAAAAATCCACAAGTTCGGCTTGTGGCTGAAATTCTGAAAGTCGGTAAAATAAAACCCATACATAAAACAGGTTGAAACTCAGGTTGAAAATTTCAGGCTCATCACTGTTCCCAGTGTGTTTGCAAAAGTTTATGAAAAGTGTGTGGCACACATGGTAATTTCTTACCAAATCAATTTGGCTTTAGAAGAGGGCGGTCAACAACGCATGCCATAATAACATTTCTTAATGAACTATATAATAATCTAGATGAAGGAAAGAGAACCCTGGGTGTTTTCTTGGATCTTAGTAAGGCATTTGATTTGGTAAACCATAAAATCCTACTAGATAAATTAGAAAAGTATGGATTTAGGGGCATTCCATATAAATGGTTTGAAAGTTACCTGGGCAGTAGAACACAATATGTTGAGATAGACAAGTTTAAGTCTATTCACCGTAATTATACCATGGGAGTGCCACAAGGTTCTATTCTGGGACCATTGCTTTATATAATATATGTCAATGATTTTGCAGGTGATGTTGTAATGTATGCATTATTTAGATTTTATTTTATTTTATCTATCATATTTATTTTTTATTTTTATTATTGACTTGTTCTATGTCATCATGTTAAGATCGTTATGAACGAATAAATATTATTATTATTATTGTACTGTGTATTAATCCCACAACTTGGACAACTCGAACAGTATATCTATCTATCTATATCTATACTAATATAAATGTGAAAGTTTGTGTGTAGATGGATGTGTTTATGTATGTATGTTTGTGGCTCTTTCACGCCTAAACGACTGAACGGATTTATATGAAACTTTACATAAATACAGCTTGTACTTCAGAATAACATATATGCAACGATTTACAAAGGTTTTGTGTAGTTTTGGTCATAATATAACGATAAGTATTAAGTAAGTCGGAAAAATTCTTGCTCCCTGAGAGCTATCTTGGCGTCCGCTGCCTATACCTTTGGAGTTACATGCAGATAATGTACTTTAAGAGTGTTTATCTCAAATAGTTCTAAATGAAAGTCAGCGATAGCATATATCTATCTCTTATGTGGTAGCCACTATATGCAAAATACTGAGTCATAAATACAATTAAATTGGATACTTTTTTACAATGCACATTTTAGAATATCTGTCAAATTTTTATAAAAATGGATACAATTGTGTTTTAAGTATTTAATATAGATAAACTTTGTCTTTTACACTAAGTAATTTGGACGAATCGTTTAAAAGTTATCACGATAAGATTAAGTTGACGCAACGCAGTAAGCCATTACGCGTCGCGTCTACCGTAAGACGAAGGGGGACGATGCGCGGGAGTAGAGGGGCGGTCTAAGCAATGAAGCACCATCGCCAAGAATGGGTTTCAAATGAAGAAGAGCAAAATATAATTTTTATGAAACTTATTTTATTTCAAGTCAGTTATTTTTTTTGTCCTTTGAAATTAAAACCACTTTTTCAGTTTGCTTTGATATATGATCTGAACAGAAAATTCAGAGTCTTTTCCTTTTGTACTGGATAGTAGAATATTCCTCTTTAATTTTGTATACTACTTACATGTAATGAAAACACATTGACTTACTAGTAATTGTAATGTTTTTTTTTCAGATTGACGTTGGAGATTTTTTCTCAAAACTAATTTGTCACAAATGCCTGAATATCGTAAAATATGTACAGCGAGTGCAGAAGCAATTCCAGACTAATCAGTATATATTGAGGGAAAGAATATGTCCCAAGGATTATGATGTTGAGGTTAGTTCTTTCAACAAGCAAAATTGATAAAAACTGTGCTGGAGAAATATTCATATTTGCCTAAAGAAAACTACAGAGAGATAAAACGACTTTATGTATGGCTATCGATGGGTTCAAAATTTCAAAATGTTGCATTGGTGATCCAACCGAATACCATTGATGCGATTTCAGGAAGATTATAACAGTCCTTCCGGTACTATTGCATATAATTAGTTTTTGCTTGAAAAGTGACTGACATTTTCAGAGTACCAGCCCTCCAAAGTTCCGAACTTTTTGGCCTTCTTTTTGCACAATACAAACTATAGAATCTGTTTAAAAATCTGTTTCAAATCTGTTTTTCCGTTAACCAGCTGTCGCACCCCTACGAACGACAACCCTCAGAAGGCGAAACTTGTGCGAGCTGAGGATTAACGAGGCCTTACCTTTTAAAGTGTGATTCCCAACACGGGTGACAAGTGAATATCGATCGTTCAGCCTGGGGCTTGAACCACCGACCAACACGGCAGGCAACTCGAGTGAGTGAACAAAGCACCCACGTCGACTCGACCGGCTACCGACCGACCGAGAATCACAAGTATTCATTCACCACATCAACTTCATATCTTATTTCACTTCGTTTGATATTTCTTTTCAGTTCAATAATCAAAATTTTTTCTTTTTCTATAAAAAACTTTATTGAGTGACTGAGCTCAAATAAGTCGAATTTTCATTTTCCTCAAAAAATATTAATTTATTCATCAATTTCTATTTTGACCCCTTCAAAGTAGTGCCCCTCAGGTATAATACACTTGTGCCAGCATTATTTCGAAACGTCAAAACAGTAATGATATGCACTTTTTTGTATGTCCTTAAGATATCTCAGCGATGCGATTCGGTTTTTATTTCCTCGATCGTCGCAAAAACGCTGTCCTTTCATGGGTCTCTTCAATCTTGGGAACAGAAAAAAGTCGCAGGAGGGCAAGTCTGGTGAATACGGTGGCTGAGGCAGGTTGGTTGGATGGAAGAGCTGCTGGTTGGATGGAAGAGCAATATCTGTTTGAAAATCTGTTTTTCCGTTAATCAGCTGTCGCCCCCATACGAACGACAACTCTCAGAAGTTGAGAAACTTGTGCGAGCTAAGGACTAACGAGTTCTTACCTTTTAACTTGTGATATCTGTCTTAATTTATCATGTGCAGATGTTGAATTCTGCCATTTGTTAGGTTAGTTCTCTTGAACTGAGTAACCTTTCAATAAAAGCATTTATTATTATTATTATTATGGTGTTTTTGGCCAAATAATTACCAACAAGCAATGACGAGTGAGCAGGTGCAGTATCGTGATGCGAAAGCCATGAATTCTTTTCCACAATACCATTGAGACGTTTGTACTTTGGTTCCGATGTCATAACCATATACCTATGATTCGTCACCAGTTATGATACTTTTAAGCAAATCTGGATCGTCGTAGACGTCATTCAACAATTCCTAAGCGATGCTCATGCGACGGTTATTTTGGCGAAAGTTCAGCAGTTTTAGAATGAACTTCATTGCCACAAGCTTCATGCCTATAATTTTCGAAAAAATTGTGTAGCATAAGCCAACCGATATGCAGACATCCTCAGCAAATTTTTCTAATAGTGATTTGACGATTGTCCATAACAACTTTCTTCGCTTTATAAACATTCTCATTGGTTGTTGATGTGCTGGGGCGTCCAGGGCGACCGTCGTCATCCACATCTTCTCGATCTTCTGATCTGATCGATTTGTAAAAATTTTTCTGGCTCAGAGTACAATCACAGTATGCCACTGTTAAAATTTCAAGTGTTTTTTGAGCACTTTTAACTTTAATGCCTGTCACCAAGAAACTGAACAAATATACAGGCTGATTCACGGTGGATGGCACATTAGACGTTTCTGGTGAACCAGACAACGGATCACTTTGAAAATTTAATGGAGGGCATATTCGGACATTCTCTAGCCAACTAAAATATTTTCGACAATGC